TTGCTGCTTGGTTTTTTCCATTCTTTGGTCTGCCTGTTTTTGAAGGCTTAATTTATCAATTATTTATTTATTTAATTATATATTTTCTATTTGTTATTTATTTACTTTATTCATTTATTTATATTTATTGAACTTATAATAAATCAAATAAAAAATATTCTGATTAATATAGGCTCTTTAATATAAGATATAATATAATTTAATTTCTTTTAAATTCTTGGTCCTACCTTTTTTCGGCGCCTTGAGACGATTTTATTGTGGAAGGCGCACTACAAATATCCCACCATTACCATTACCATTACCATTACCACTTACCCATGGGTCATTTCCCTCATGCTTTATGGAAGGGTTAGCAGCAAACAATCTTTTTCCAATTAATTTATAGTTTTCAGCAGATCCAAGATTGGGGTATTTTGTCATAAAGAAATGAGCACTTTCGTCAATTAGCTTGCTCCAAACAGATTTTGCTTGTCCAGAAGCCAATTTTTCTTTTACAAAACTACTAAATAGAGGTAGTTCAATCTCATTTGAATAGGAACAAAAAGCTGGAAGAAAAACAATACAGTAATCAATAAATTAAGTTTTATATAGATATTTTAGCATTTGGCACTATTCATCAATGAGATTAATTTTACACAAAATATTGATGCCAATTCTTATATGGAGCTCTAACATCACGCTTTAGTAAGCTTCAACTAATAAAACATAACTAACCTCGACTATAGTCTTCAATTGTTGGTGATATATCCTCTTCAGTGTCTAAAGTCTCACTACCACTACTACTACTACATGGTTCCATACGGCGTCCTATGTTCTGCTTACATGCCGATACTGGCTCCCATTTCTCTTCATTGGTAAGTAGCATCAGTGTCTCTGACTTCACAGCCATCAATACTTCATCTTCATCTACTACTGTCCCATCTTGTTCAAGAACAACATGGTAGACTTTCTTGTTCAGCTTGGTTCCACCTAAAGACAAATATATTTAAAATGGCCGACTGGGTATAGTTCAATAGTAAATACAAGTAAATACATATCGAGGTAGTAAACAAACAAGAATTTTTATACAGGGTACAAGAATTTATTTTAAAATAAACTTATACGGCCTCGTGGAAGAACACCCATTTGGGTGAACAAGTTTTTTGTCTGTTACAAAAATTAAGATGTTATTATCATTATTATTATAAAAAGTAAACTAAAATTACCTTTTTGTAAAATCTCTTGTATGTTTTCGCACACAACCATACTCTTATTTTGTCTGGTAGAATCCCACACTTTAAATACCGGCATTATGTACTTGGTTAATAACCCTATGTGGCAAAAGTAGTAAAGTGTTTTTCAATGTCATTATGGGTCATTAATTACAGTAATGTATATTAAAATTTGGTAAATTTGATAAATATGCAGGCCTACACACAAACATGAAATTGAAAAACAAAAATTTGCTAAAGTTGAAACAGTAAGAAAACAAATAAGAAGGAAAACTGATGTTTTCAAAATAAACCTAGCATTAAATAATTATATTGTATAGTTTTTGACATACTCTACAACATACATGTATAGATGCGCGCCAATTTGGTGAAAAAAATTTGAGCCTAGCGCGCGTAGCATGTAGGTGTTAAATATGAGAGTATTGGTTAATTACAGCACACTGTTTATTATATAAGTGGAAGTTCAAAGGCCATTTTGAACTCAGGCTGTGATATGTAACTACAGCTTGTTTGCCAGAAACTACCAATATATAACATAGTCCTTGTTCCTCAAAATGATCAACAGACATCACATCAACAACAAATAATTTCTCCTGATTAAAGACAATAATTTCAGTTAATTTTCCAAATATTGGTACTTCATTTTCATCATAATTCAGACGCAAACAACATCCTGGGCGAAATTTATGGCCGTGAATTTTCACACTGTCAGTCACAAACACAATTGTTGCCGGGTCTCTGAATGCATTTGAATTTGTTGCATCACACAATTTTTCAATTAGTTGTGGAAAATTTTCATGTAGTAATACTTCTGCTCCTTCATTAACTTCATCGCCTTCATACAAGCAGTTATTAATATTACTTGCCTGTGAGTGACACATAACCATTTGATGCTTGATAGCTACACTAAGTGGAAGATTTTTAAAGTTTTTCCATTTTTTTTATTTTGTATGAGTATGTTTCGCCTCAAAGCGCATACACCAATGATAACGAGCAGGACCATACTTTAGAATTTGAGATGGCATGTGAACACAGTGATGCATCTTCGGTGTGAAAGAAGCACGTGGATATTCTTCAATGTATACGCTATGATGAGTGTAAATCATTTGTTGCAATTGCCCAACAGTGTTACGATCAGCATATGGACTAACACAAAGAAGCATAATTTTAACTAAACAAAGAAAATTCAACCATTTCTTATTCCCATTTGAAATGCAAGGGCCAACAATGAAAGGTAGAATAAGAGAAAGGGTATGAATTGATGCTGCTGTCTGCTTGATTCTCTGTTCTCCATGGAAGTGAGTATAATCAAGGGCAACAACCTTTGTGTCAGTCTCCAAATAAGTATATGAAAAATTTGAAAGTTTACCATTAAGCCATTCCAATGTAAAGAACCTGTCCACATAAATGAACTGATACAGCATTAGTTTCAATTCAAGAGGGACCAAACCTTCAAGGAAAACATGCATCGGATCATGGACTAATGCAGAGCACAGTGGAAAGTCAATATCGAGCAAGCAACTACGACCATTAATGCCCCACATTTTGCTCCAGTATTTAAGAGCAGCAGACGAAAGATTTTCCATTTCACCACATCTTTTTTTATGTACCAGTTCATCTCCTAATGAGATTTCAGTTTCATCAAGATGCATTTTCATATCTTCCTTTGAAATGTTGCATGTCCGACATGGTTTCAGTGCAAACCCCACCCCCTCTTTAAACCCACCTAACCACTGTGCTGCAGGGTTATCACAGGGGCAAATCGCAAGGAAGCCTTCAATTGTTTGTTGTCTTCCATTTATGTTGATTTGTATACCATCATTTTCAAGGCATCTTATACCAGCCAAAAATCTTGTAACAACTTCTTACACCCCATATTGTCCTGTTTCAAATCTTGTGTTTTTGCAACAGCAAGCAAGTGAATACTAGTAAGACGGGAACAATATTCAGGGGGAAGATTTCCCAGGACCCAGTAAAACATGGACAATTTATGTTTCTTGACATGTACCCCAATGGGGTTTACAATTTCAATGTCATCGCAGTTTAAAACAATCTGAAGTGCTTGGGGGTTTCTTTGAAATATAGGATGGTTTTGGATAGCAATACCATCACAAATGTCGTACATCATGTTATCAGTACTCTGGTGTGGATTCACAACAAACTTTTGTACCTCAGGCAAATTTAAGAATCCTTGCAGACTTTGTAGAAATGGAATAAAGTAACCTACTCTATTTACACGTTTAATTTTTCCCTTTGTTCTGATATTTTTATGGCCAAGTGTCACACCAACTGGTTTTATATAACCAAACAGTTCTTTATATATTTGTAAGCGTTTATGACGACTTTGCATGTTATTAAAAACACCATCAAACCTTCGGATAATCACATTGTTGTCATTCTCTTGAAAGATTCTATCAACACCACCGTGTAAGTTATTTTGATCAAAAATAACATTTTTTAAAAGTAAAGAAGTTTCAGAAAGAACTGAATTTAATGCTACATTAGTAAGCCCATGTCGGGCCTCAAGAGATAAAGCATATTTGGCTATTTTTCTTTCAATATTTCTTTGATCATTAACTATAGGTTCTTCATCAATTACATTTTCATCTTCAGAATTATCACCAGAATTATCTGAAATGTTTTCATCAAATTCCTGTTGGTCTCTATCTTTATGTTTACGCCAGACATGAGTTCTAAATGCCCCCCAACTTTTAGTAGAGTAGTTGCATTGAAAAGCAGAACATGTCATAAAGTGTGGATCATTTTTGTGCAAGTGTACAACATGTTTCTCAAACCTGTGGTAAGTAGGTGACCTAAAAAAAACACATACTACATTGCCACATGATGGCATCTCCAAAAATACTACAATTTTTTAATGATGTTCTATAAAAACCTGAGAATAAAACGTGTTTTGATAATAAAAGCCAAATGGTAAAGCTGATTAATATTTGATAAAACAATATAATGCATACTCCAAGGGTTGTCTCTTATACACATCTAGATGTGTATAAGAGACAGGTGAAAGGGTATGAATTGATGCTGCTGTCTGCTTGATTCTCTCTAATTTCAAAATATTCAATCATAAATCATAATTTGCATTATTTTAATTCCTAGTATTAATTATACTTTATTATTTGAATAATAATTAATAGCTGTTTTAATTAGAGGATAAAAAAAAACATCTGTAGATATTCAGTATATGTCAAAATCCTTGATTGCTATACTAAATAGTTTATATCAGCAATTAGATCTTTCAAAGTATTAAAAATTTTAATAAAAAGGTAATGGCTGTTGCCTAATGTTAACAAACATTACAGCTGTCTCTTATACACATCTAGATGTGTATAAGAGACAGCATCATAGCGCATACACCAATGATTAAAAACAATAGTGAATTTGAGAAAAGGTCTCCAGTCAGTACCACACCTCTTCCCCACCTCATAACCTCCCAAAAAAATAATCGTGCTGTCAAGGTGGCCGAAAAAGATACAATCCCACTCCTTTGACCCTTCCCCTCTCAGCAAAATTAATAATAATACGAAAAAAAAAAACAGAGACCTACGGTACGTTAGGCCTAGCTAAGATAAAGTACACACTATTTTTGTACTGTTATTAAAATATCCCTAGGCCTATAGGCTTTGATCTAGGCCACATCTAGGCCTAAATGCCACTAGGCCTATGTAGACCACCCTGTGTGAGGACAAGTTACGACTTGGAACCTTAAACTAGGCCCTAGGGCATCACCAGAAAGCTAGCTCGGCCCCTCCCCTAGTTTCAGCCTAGAGTTTCTACATAATTTTTTTTAAATATTGTGATGACCAGGGATAAGTAAAAGTAGCCTAAGTTAGGCCTATGTATACCATTCATAACATTATTACATTATAAAGAAAATAAAATTCCACTTACTTATATAATTCTGTAAATTTTTGAAGTAGAATTACCAAACAGAACTCAGGTGGTTGTAGATA